CAATATCGATTATCAGAAAAAATACAGTGCTCTCAAAAAACCTTCTGGGAACACCGTGTAGTGATAAGTAGCGAAGTTTTTGCTAAAAATCGCTGTTTTTGTTTAAATTCAGAGGCTCAATCATGCCAGCGATTTGGCTACCCTTTTCTCATCAGCTCCTGAAAGACGGAGCTAACGATAGTACTGCCAGCGACCAGTTACTGCTCAAGTGTTAAACTTAAGCTATTTCGAAGTACTTTCGTCTCTTACAGAAAGTAAATACCGACTCCGACTCGGACTGTACCGAAAGCCATAAGCAACTGTCTTTCAGAATAAGAAACGTAAATCCACGTGGATGGCCCTAAACAACAGACACCTAGCATAGTCGGTCGATTCTCAAGAAAATAACAAAATACCATGATCCTAAAACAATCCGGCAACGATGAACCTGTTTTCGCTGGTCCCATCCTTCCAGCGATCGTAGCAGAATTGCACGCAGTAATGGTACGGATTCCACTTATTGGGACAACCGGGCGCACCCGATGCATTCTTTTCGGCTTTTTTCCGCGCTCCAGGGGCACCGGCACCCGGCACATCGGCATCGTAATTTTCCGCAATCACTTCCTCAGATGCATCTGAAAATTTGACCCACGCTGAGCATACATCCACTGCACAGCCCTTCCTTTCAGCATGGAATTTTTTGAGATTTTGCGACTTCAAAATGACCTGGATGCTCCGGTGGCTAGGAACGCAGTTAAGGCCTCTTCCTCTCGGATTTTGTTGACTGACCTCTAGAAATGCCCCTCAACGATTTCCGGCCTGCTGAAGGCAGAAACATAAAAGCAGAACAAGGTTGACTGAAAAAAAAATTCTTTACCCTCTCGGCTTCACTCACCATCTTGGACGATTCCTCGGCGTTTCAGACGAGCCAGAAGTGCTGGTGGTAGGGGCATCTAGCAGCAACACAGTAGATCCAATATGCAATCCTGAAAAATCTCCATGTATAGCCTATCGCAAGAGAGATCCGATCCTAATCCAGCACTGCGAGTGCTCGGGACAAAACGGCACCAAGGGTAGCCTGAAGCAGCTGAAGGCTTGGCCAGTGGCTCTGTTGGCAAAGCCAATAATTCTTTCAGCAGAACAAACGAAAGCACAGATCACCAGCAGCAGCAAAAGGCTGATCCCTGGTCAAGGAGCGACTGGAGAAGTGTGGAAATCGCGCAGCTATTATTGAGCATTTCAAGTCTATCGGAGTGGCAAACGCATAAAACCCGTTAATGGCATGCATGTCTTCTACGGAAGCCATCAGGGTCAAGCCATCAGCAAAGCACTGCAAGTGCCTTGCTGCGATCAATTTCTTCGCACTGAATCGTCGCGCTCAAAAGCTAAAAGACGCCACAAACGTAGGTTTCTGGCGTAACAGCTTCCCAGCCATTTTGGAACAAAAATCTCTTAACAGCAGCATCAGAAAGCTGGTCGGAGTGAGAAAGGGAAGGAATACAGAAGTGAGGGTGAAGCGGGGATTCGGCAAAAGGAGAGGGGAAACGCCGTATCTTTACTTTAAGTAGCTGCGAGTTTGTAATACCTTGTTCTAGCTCATTCGATGCGTCGGGCGAAAGCAAGCACATAAGGACAAACAGTGCTACGCGTGCTACTTCGTTGACTTTAGGGCAAGTGCGTGGGTCAAACCAGCGAACATCACTGTAAGATTTGAGCGTTCTAGCTTCGCAAATTCCCGAGTTATGAACTCACCGGAAAAAAGATTCGGCGGGCCCGTACGCGGCTACCAGGCTTACGTGGGGGATAGGATTCAGTGCATCAACACCGACTAGGATGGGGAACATCACAGGCTGCGATGTGCAACAGCGCCAGCAACGAAGCTACGCTTTCAGCTCAGGAAACGGCTCGAAAGCAACGCCTTTTGGAAGCCAAGCTGTCGAGACACTCACCCCACCCCACTCCTCCCCGTCCCTCGAGGGACAGAATCCACTCCCGATCACTACTGAAACAGACATCACGACGAAACAGCGCTCAGTCTAAGTATGACAGCCCCCCTTCC